CAAAACCTTAATGGTGCTAAAACAGCACGTACTTTCATGCCCTATTTTCATGCAAAATTACGCGAAAAGTACTCAAATTTTCGAAAAATTGTACGTGGCCTTATTCCGAAATATATCTTTAAAGAACAGAATTCATTCTGGAAAAAATATCTGTCTTTAATATTTTAGTTGTAAGAAGACTAAGAAAAGTGTTTAAATTTTGTAATTTTAAAAAAATAAGGCTTTTTTACCACAAAATTTAATCACAAATAACAGAGCAATTGTTTTGAAAATTTGAAAAATGTTTCAGGTGCTTGATGTAAAATACCCCCCAAAATTAAAATACTTATTTCAATTTCAAGCGGCTGCAACATTAGCCAGAACGATTGGGGAATGTCAATTTTGAAGACAATCGGCTGAACCATAGCTATTATAATAAGTAATAGTCGGCAACGGTTGAACTCTTAAGCCACGAGCGTTGTTGACGGACGGACGGACGTTTTGACGTAAATTCAATTTTTCGGCATCAAGGACCCACAAAACGTGGATTCTGCCTACACCACGCGTAAGAGGAAATTTTTCTCAAAATTTAGAAACCGGATTTATCAACTCTTTCTTTACCACGGCTTTGTAAAAAGAGCTTTCCATCCTGAAATCCCCCATTTTTTCGCGCAGCATTACATAACTTTCCCTCTACTCTGTAGTGAAAAAGTAAGAAGGAAATACAAAAGCAAAAAAACATACTAGTACATTCAGAGTATCGAAACAAGATCAAGATTGATTACAAAAATATATATTAATGAAGTTGAAAAGTAATTGCTTTCAGACATACAATAACAACTCATATAATAAAAAAAAGCTACAAATTCACTCTTCTTGAGCATCCATTTAAAAAAAAAAGCAACAATTTTTTACAGATTTTGGTGAAATTATTGACAGTATCCAGTTTGAAAATGAAATTATATTAATTGAAGCTTTTGATAGCAGAGTAAGTAACAGAGAACTTGTGGTAGTACACCAGTTCATGGAAGAAACAGTTAACGACAATGGGGAAATGATTAAAAAAACTTATGTAAAAAGCAGGAGCTATGAGTATGGAATACCTTTCTCAAACATAAAAGCATCCACAAATGTAAAAAAAATATCCAATAAGAAATACTCAATCAGTAATTGACTTAATTCTGATGAAGAAAGAGTGAAATTCAATGATGTCAGATTATACCACCAAAATGCAGAACTGATCTTCAGATGGTAATGAACAGACATGAATTCTCCTTTAGAAAACATTGAAGAGGCACACCAGAAACATGAAGATTGAAAAGAGAAAATTTTTATGGACAAAAACTGTAGATGTAAAGTGTTATTAAATAAAATGTTCAAAAAATCACAAAATTTTAGTTTCTCTTACATTATTAGAGCCTTCTCCAGGTGAAAATAATTGCATACAATAGTACAAATTAACAAAAAATTAGAGTTTAAACGTGAAATATTCTTATGCATTAATACAAAAGTTGTGACTAAACTGACATGAAGCCAATTTCAGAAGACTTTTTTTGTTGTTTTATCAGTGGGATATATGCACGTTTGTGATATGTACACATGACATGAAGTGAAAGTTTTTATATTAAAGATTTACACCCATAAAACTAATTAATAAATTGACTGAATAGTAAATAAGCATAAAGACCTTTTGTGGTTGTTGGAGCTTTACATACAAACCCTCACTTTCATTTCACTCATTCTTTTACCACCCACATTCCCCCAGGGGTAGGTACAACCTGAAAAGGATACAGCTGTGTGTTCACCATACATTTTCAATGAATATAACCCTATTAGTTTAATACACAATAGCAAGGTACTATTATAGAATTCATATACTAGTTTCTGTAACAACAAAAGGACTCTACTTTATTTACTTGTCAGCAAATTTATTTATTTTATCATTATAACTACTTAAAATAAAGATTTTTACTTCATAACATTAACAGACCACAAACATTCATATGCTGGTGTTTAAACTACAAAAGAATTTACTTCTATGTCAATTTAGTCACAACTAGTTTTTATATAATTGTTGTTTCACATATAAATAATCACTTCATGATAATTTATACTAATGTTCACAGTTCCCAAGAAGGGACTAATATTCATTTCTTATTCACATTATGGAAGTCGAATTTAAAGTTGAAGAACAATGAAAGGGACTCAGAAAAAAAAACAACATTGAAGCGACTATTTTACTTGTAGATCCAGTACCAGATGAAACGGTTAAGTACATTACATCAATTGCAACATCAAAACAAGAACATAATATGACTATATTTGAAAAATACCAGATATTGTGTTGGGCACATTCATTTTGAAAGCTTTCCTTTTTCTCAAAATGTTTAGTTTCAAAATATATCATCTCTAGACCTAATCCAGATTTAAACAGAAAAATTTAACAAACATAATATGAAACTAAATTCATTTAATTTAAATGTCACAATTTCTAATAACCAATCTGCATACATTATGTTTCAAATAAGGACACATATCTTATAATTACATTGCTTGTAAAAAGAGTAAATATAATATTAATTATAAGATACAAAAAAATGAAAGTAAAAGAGAAAGGGAGAAAAAGAAAATAAAAATTATAGTGAATGCAAAGCCAACCAGTGTAGAAGTGCTGATCAAGACAGAATAAAACTTTAATCAAAGGAAAGGCAGGAATCCCACCTTGAGCACAGATGTTTGTGTGAATTTGTATTATTTCGTGGCATATTCATACAAGTGAGCCATTAAGATTAATAACCTTAGTTTAAAATATGACAATAGCTTGAAAAGCCTTACCTTCACATTAGTTATTGATGATAACCTGATAAATGCCTCTAGAAAGCCCACATGCTAAAAAACTATGAAGGGGGAAAGAAAAGATAATGGTAGAGTGAAACAAATCATTATTTTATTAATAATAGTAATACATATAATTATCAACAGTCATGACTTATGTTGCAAGAGTAGTCAAGTACAAAAATATACTGATTTACAGTTTAGGAAGCTCCTACGAAAGGGAGGTAACAATCAAATTAGCTCTATATGAGTATCACAATGTACAGCAGGTACCTGGGAAATGAATACTTGCCCTCAATTCATCCATGTTCTTTGGCAATAAAGACATTAATATAAATTATAAACACTAATTACATTAATATAAATTATAACAAATTACATATATATTAATACTTCACAATATACACTACATACAAAAATGTCTGATTAACAGATAAATATAACAGATAAAACAAGCCAAATTAAAATATTTACAGCATTTCAGTCTTATCAGATAATCGCACTTATCAACATCCACTTCAAAATTTATTAGAAAGACACTTTGAAAACAACACTTATCAATGGTCTCCAATCAAGAATAGAATTTATTCCGTCTTCATGTCGCCTCTAGGCTCAACCCACAAGTACATGAAACTTCTTCGAAAAGTTGGCAAGTTCAATAAAAAAAAAAATTATTTTGTGAAGTTGAATAGCAACTGCTGCCAGGAGTTGGCTAGTACTCATGTGAAATACGACATTTTATACATTAAGATATAAAATGTGAAATGAAACATAAGAGTGCTTTTGAATTCAATTCTTCAAGAAATAAAACTATATCTAATTCAGCAACAACAACTGGAAATTCCATGAATTGATATCTTTCAAATTTCACTTTGGATGATACCTGCAATTTCTCCTTTGAAATAATTAACTTAACAATGATGAATCCCACAATTCCTAAAGTTAAACCGAGTCATCAAGAATTTTAAGTTTTTAATATTTTTTTATACCTGCTTGACGAAGTGGTTTTCTGAAATATAAAAAAGAATTCAATTTCAGTTCATTTTTCTGGTAAAAATACAAAAGTTTAGTTAATAATGCAAAAAGTTTGATTTGAGAAATCTAAAATTAGAATTGCTTCTGCACCACAGCAGTAAGAGTTTCAAAATGATGATCTATCAAAAATAATTCACACTTTTATCAACTATTATCAGAAAACTATTCTGTTTAGTTAATATTTATTTCTATGACTAATTGGTATAAACATCTCAATTAAAATAGTAATCTTACTAATTTGTTTTAAAAAATGCCTTTCTTTTTGTTTTTAAAAAGAACTACTATAATAAGTCAATGTAACAGTAATGCCATAATAAATTCATTAAAGCACTGCAATATAATGAAGCATTTTACAGCATCCATTCATGCATGCTACTTGAATACTATTGTATCATCTTTCATAAAAGTTATATTGTAATATCAGTTTTATTGGTTTTCTGTATTTTAGAATAGCATATATTTTAAAAAAATATTTTTTAAATTATACAGGCCATGTACTCCAATTTGACAATTTCAATTCACTGTTTCATAATATACTGAAATTCTTAATAATCTCCTCTCAATCATGTTTTAAGCATTGTTTGCTTTTCCACAATTCATTTAGTAATTAAACTACACTTTCTTCATTACAGCTTTTGGTCATCAATTTATTTTCATAAATATGGCAGTACGAAAGTTGCAGGCAAGAAAAGATAGCTTCAGCAATCGCTTTCCTTTTGTTTCTTCACCAACTCTAGCACCTCTTTCAACATATTCCGTTGGGCTTCGACAATTCCACGAAGTTCCATGACCTCATCACTTAATTTTGCAATGGCCTTCGTGCTTCCTTCCACATCCGGGCAGTTCTCCATATGACCTGAGGACCGTGAATACAAAGTGCCGTCAGAAAAGGCAGACGGAGCAACTGCAGTATACGTGGAAGCAGTGACAGAAGAAAACCGAGAGGCAATAGTTCCATGCTTCTTGTGCTTACGTTGTTTCGCTAGTTCATAAGCCGTGTGAAGAATAGATCTAGGAAGACGTTTCTCTCGAGGATTCAACGGTTTTACATGTAGCACTACTCTATACGCAGAGGGAGACACTGAAGCCTTTCTCTGCAAGCAGCGAAGCATGAAACTCGGAATATAGTTATTGAACAAAGCTAATTCCACATACGAAATTAGTCTTGTTTGTTGCTCCAGTTTAAGCAAACCAGCTGTTTTCTGCAGCCCCTGAATATCATGTACAGCAATACCAACAAGCAGATTCATGAGTACGACTGTTGCAAAAAGAAGAAAAATAATAAAAATAAAGTGAGCACTGTAAGGTAGAGCAGTGGGATTGTCGTCAAAAAATATGCTATCAAATTCTAGCTCTCCAGTCATCATAACAAGTACTTTCATGAAACTTATGAATGGGTTGCCAAACTGTGCTTTGGCAGGAAAGATAACACAAAAGCTTATAGTGAATCCTATTAGAAGACAAAGATATGCTGCAAATAATTTAAGAAATTCACGTTGTACCCTAGTGTACATAGCTACATATGATCCTAAAAGAGGCAGTTGACCTAGCATGTGCATTAGGTTCCACCATCCAAAGAGCACAGCAAAGGCTCCAATATGATTTTGCCATTCATAAATCCTATTTGTGAAAACACATGAAATAGTAAAAACACTAACAACAACAAACCATTCCAAGAGGTTCTCTACTTGAGAAACATATTCCTTTACTGTTGAAAACCCAGAAAAGCCAAAGATTTTACGAAAAATTTCACAAAATGTGAAGAGTAGTAAAATATACCACTCAACAATGATAATGCTGGGATGGTCTCTAAAGAAATGCCCTATAGTACTATTGGTACACAAGAGCTGGCTTCGGTTTTCTGGTTTGTTTGGTTCTTCCGTCACAGGATTGCTTCCAAAGGAGTTGTCAGATCTGTTGCTGTCAGCCGAACTGGCATTTGTAGAATTATAATAATGTTCGTTGAAACAATTATGGGCAAGCGCAGACATCACATACAGAGTAAGCGACAAAACAAAGAGAAAGCAGAAAATGAGCTTGACAACATAGAACTTGCGAATCTTCTGCCACTTGAGGTGCAAGAACGCTTCGCAGAGCGGGTGCTTCAGAACCTCCTTCTGCCCCTCGTCCACGAACGTCTTGAGGTAGGCGATCTCTCCCCGCTCAGAGTGCTGGAGCAGCTGCCGGAAGTCGAGCTTGAGCTCCACCTCTCGGTGCGACACCTCGGGGTCGTGCATGGAGATGGCGGCGTCGAACTTCGCATAGAGCGTGTTAAGCGAGGCGGGCGTCTTCCTCACGATGATGGACAGCGCCGTGGTGCCGCCGTGCGTGCGCGCCGACACGTCCGCGCCGTGGTACAGCAGCGTCTCCACGCACTGGGCCAGCTCGTTGAGCGCCGCCACGTGCAGCGGGGTGTAGCCGAAGCAGTCGCACGCGTTCACGTCGGCGCGCCATGAAATGAGCGTCTCGGCCACCTCGTACGCCTGCAACGCCTTGCCCACGGCGGCGTGTAAAGGCGTGCGCAGGTCGTCGTCCGTTACGTTCACGTCGCACGAGCTGGCGCGCAGCAGCGTCTCCACGCACTCCACCGACTGCGCGCGCGCCGCCAGGTGCAGCGGCACCTGCCCGCGGTAGTTCCGCACGTTGGCGTCGGCGCCCCGCGCCAGCAGCAGCGCCACGCACTCCGCCAGCCCGTTCTCCGCGGCAAGGTGCAGCGCCGTCGCGCTCTTCTCCGTCGTCTGCACGTTCAGGTCCACGCCCTCCCACTCGGCCAGAAGCCGCAGGCAGTCGCTCTTGCCCAGGTCGCGGGCGAGGTGGCGCGGCGCGCAGCCCGCGGGCGCCACACCGAGTTCACGTCCTCGCACTTGCCCCAGCAAGGCAGGCGCAGCACATCCACGGCGTTCGCCTTGGACGGCCGAGTGCAGCGCCGACGCGTCCCCCGCGCGCCCGCCGTTCCGCTTCCAGTACTCCACGACGGCGACCGGCGTCCAGCAGCACCCGCGCGGCGTCGAGGGCGTTGCCGAAGGCGGCGCTGTGCAGCGGTGTGAACTGCCCGCGCATCAGGTTCACGTCGGCGCCCATCGACACCAGGAAGCGGCACGAGTCGGCGCAGCCGCTGAACGCCGCCAGGTGCAGCGCGCTGAAGCCGTCGGGGTCGCAGAAGGGCAGGCTGGCGCCGGCCTTGAGCAGCGCCGGCAGCAGGTCGCGGCGCCGCTGCAGCGCGGCCCACAGCAGCGCCAGGTTGAGCTCGAGCGAGGGCTTGCCGGCGAGGGTGTCGAGCGCGGAGTCGGCCGCCAGCTCGCCGCGCTCGATGGCGTCCAGCAGCGCCGTGGAGCCCGCGGCGGCGCGCATCGCCTCCTGCAGCCCCTGCGCCACGCCGTCGCGGCAGATGCGCACGCGCAGCTCCTCGGGCACGGCGTGCTCGAAGCTCTCGAACAGCGGCGCCAGGTCGTCGTCCAGCGGCGGCGACGGCCCCAGCTGCATGCGGTCGCCCGGAGACTTCTTCTCTTCCTCGTCATCGCTGCGGGCACACACGAACACACGTGTCACTCTCCATCATTGCGGCGCAAATTTAACTAATTAATATAAAGGTTAAGATACATTGGTTAAGCTAATGTCTAAGACAGCAATAGAACTGAATAAAGTGTAGGAAATATTTTAAAAATTTAGGGTCATTACAAAAACGAACATTACCCGAGTATTATGGTCAATAGACCCACCTGAGATTACAGGTACGACTCAGAGACAGATGGGAGAGGCACTTATATTCGGTCGGATCCACCTTAAAGATACGGTATTAAAATGTTTTCATCAATAAACGTGTAGCTCACACATCCCAACGTATACAATTTTATGTTCATTCAAAATTGTCCCGGAATGCCTAGTACTACGTGTCTCAGGGTTTATATCTACGCCTCCTAAAGAAATTATTTCAAGAAGGTACATTGCAGAGTTCCATCACAATAAAGTAAGAAACGTGCTCTAATGATTTCCGCGATGAATGCAGACAATTTCCTCGCGAACATATCTCGTGCGACGGTAGAATCTTTCAGCTTTAAATGCTTTGTTTTATACAGAGAGGTGGGTTTTACATGCAAAAACTTCTCACAAACCTCCTATGGATATTTTTTATACAAAAAAACATTTTGCTGACAGACGCTCGAGAAATGCGTCACAATATTTTAGAGCTTTGTTATTATCAAGTGAAAACTAGCAAAATCGCGATTTTTCGGCGTCGTATCGCTGAAACGAGCGCTCTGTTATCCAAGACAGAAGTCTTAATTTGCTTCTCTTTTCTTTTTACCGCGACAATATTTAATATTCAATATCCAAATTTTATAGTCTATGAATTCGGGTTATAAAAACGACACCTGCGTCAGGGGCATGTGACAAAGCGCAGTTTTCTTTAAAAGGCGCTACATGCAGTTGTGCTCGGCGGGAAGCCTAGCCTTGCCGAGTCGTATTCACAATAAAAATTCTTAAAATATATTCTTTTAGAGCTGTAGATTTAGTATCTGCATCTCACTAGAGAAGAATGTTAAAGAGCTATTTAGTTTGTCACATATTAGTTACGAGCCTCTTAGTGGTGAGTGTATGAAGATGAAACGAACCACGCGGCACTTAATGTAATGCCCCGTTGCAAGTTAATCTAGTTCACTTAAGTTTGATTCTGAAATTTAAAAATTCTGATAAAAAGTTAGGAAAACTGCTGAGTTTTTAGTAAAATCGTCTGACTTTTTTTGTATTAACATTCCTTTTCTTGGGGGAGGGGAGATTTCGTCATCTTCCCCTTCCGTGGTTCCACGGAAACAACGCAGGACTGTCTCGTTTTCGCTCACCTGAGCGCAATGCGATTGCTCAAGGGTTTCGCTCTCAGTCGGCGTCCGCGGCGGTGTCCACTGGTAAATGTTGGTGGCAACCGACGCGGGTTAATGAGAAATGTAGAGATCGAAATGTTGAACGACATTGACGAACTCGCAACGCGCTATGTTCTGAATGGCTCTCTGCATCATATTTCTTCGGGCCTACATCTTTTCAAAAGTTGACTACGTCCAACGCCTTCTAAGATTCCCGGCTTCTGCATCTTATATTTCAATATCCGGTTACCTCCACCCAAAGTTTCTCCCTGCATGTAGTAAATCCTGTTTCGCCCCCCCCTCTTGCTTTCCTGCGTTCTACGTCTCCCTCGCTTTTCAGGAATAACTCAGAGAAAATGAAAACTGCGATTTTAAAACAAATATGACAATTTTTTCATGTGAAATAAGTCTTTATCTATGACGTTATACCAATTGTCGGTTGGTAGCTTATGTATGGCTATTTCAAGGACGAGATGGATATTTATTTTTATTAAATTATGTTCCCCGAAAATTCAAAGTATCATAAAAACCAATATAATAATAAATAAAATAATAAATTAATCTAACTTTTTTTAAATATAACGTACAAAGCGATATTACTTATATCCGATTAATGGGAAGCCAATAATTAAGGGAAATTAAATCTCGCTCCCTAGTACATAAGAGGATTTACAGCATTCGGGAGAAGCAGCAGCCAGAGCCGCAGCGAGCCTCACCTGTTGAAGGCGCGGGAGCGCAGCAGCGTGAGGCGGTTGGAGCGCGTGGAGCGTCCGTGGCGCCAGCGCGCCTTGGTGGCGGGCTGGAGGTTGCGGTTGAGGCGCGTGGCGGCCGCGGCGGCCGAGTTTGCCGCCGCCCTCCGGGTACACGCCGGCTCCGCGCCGTCATGCTGATGCCGCGCGTCCCAGCAGCGCGCGCCCGCCGGCCCACGCGCGCCGCTGCCGGCTCCTCCCCGCCTCGCCTCCGCCGCCGCCCCCGCCCCCGCCGTCCTCGCCGGCGTCGCCGTCGAGTCGTCGGGCAGCATGGCCGGGGGAGACGGTGCGCCGGACACGGTGGCGCAAGTGCGCACCAGCGGGGGCGCGTTGCCTCCTGCCCAACACACGCAACCAACGTAAGCTAAATGCAATTCTCAGGCGCCTGTAAGCAATCAATTAGCATCAGAATTAAGCGCAACCAAAATACAGGTTGCATTAGAAGTTGACATTCCAAGTTGCTACAATTATGACCCACAATATACATTCAAGAATGTGTGCACGTTAATATCGAAATTTCAAATGCTCTGTCTATTAGCTCCCTCATAGAATTGTTCTCAGCGATTTAGTTTCATTGAGTATTGTTAAATACTAAATCCCTGTTGAGGGACTACTGGAATAACTTTTCTGTAACTAAACTTGCTGCCACTATTCCTTTATTCCTTTTTTTTTTACTTGTCATAACTAGTACTAGTATTATTGGTGTGCCAAGATATCTATTTACTTTAAAAATTGTTGATATTCATCGTTTAAGAATCCAGTGCCATTACTCGCTGCTGTAGAACCCCGTGAACTGCACCTGCACTGGGGGGAATGAAATAGAATGTTCAACACGGACAACAAACATTCAGGTTGCACCAAAACACTATTATTAATTCACGTCTATAATGCAACTGTACATTTACATGCACATGCTGGTCGTAGAAAGTAATAAGAATTAATTTGTCTTGGATGCATTAATGCTGGCATTAGGGAGCACCCATTGGACACCAGATTGTTTGTAGATCCTTGCCTCCCCTTCACCACGACAAATAAACATGCGCGGGTGAGCAGCTGCCATTACCTCCTGCTACAAGACGTCAGAGCAAGGCGAGGTAACAAAAAGTCCGTAAATTACAGAATGTGGCCTGTAGTCTTAGTAACGACGTAAGGAAGCTCATTTGCGTGGTTGTGTGCTTCAGGGTATCGCCACAAAGATTATCTAACATGCCTCAGTTATCCCGGTAGGAAATTGCACCACATTCTTCGAAGCAAATATGTTTGACATAAAACAATACCTAACGTACCTACAATAATTAGTTAAGTTAATATACAATTTAAAATAATTATATTACGTTTCAGACTGAGGCAAAAGGACGAAAAAGTATCTGAATCATAGAAGACTTTTCTCAATACACAACTATTGAACTAAAATATCTAAAGAAAAAACTCAAAACATTATTTTTAGGTATTTTGAAATCCCCAAGAGATTTCAGTTTCTAGAAAAATTATTAACATTACGAACGAAAAATGGTGAAATTATTGACACAAATCCCAAACTCCATTCTATTAGCATCTTCGACTAGTAATGAAATTTGTTATTTTTTGTGCTTTTTTTATTTTCTTCCTTTTATAATATTGATTTACTTTCTCAACTAATAGCCAAATGTTTTTATAACTCCATTCTGCGTTGATTCAATGCACAAGTAGACTAATCAATTGCTTAGGGTCTCCCTCGGGCAGTGATGCCAATGCCTTTTGATTAAAATTTTATATTAGTTTTTTAAATATGTAAAAATATTTGAGTACATACATTTTTAAGTTTTACTGTTATAGTTTATTTTCAATTGTTCAATATTTGAACATTATTAGGTGACCCCGTAGTTTGCTTATTGAAGGAAGACTATACTAATATCTTTCCTCTATGGTCTGATAAAGTTTAGTTAATGCTCAGGGCCCCTTACAACATTATTGCGGCACTGGTCACACACATACACAAGCTCTATTAACCGATAAACCGACACAAAATAATAAAGAAACTCCGCTGCAACACATCCTTTGTCTCCCCATACGGAAAATCCTGTCAGATGTATGTTACCAACGCATTAACCGCTCACTTCCATTTATTTCCTAACCGCACGCAATTTTCCCCGTTCAGCGCATCACAAATACACTTAACCGCACGTTCGTTCCTCGACGCACCGCACGCATTACCACCGGACGTGATGCAACCCCGCGAGACTTCCGACGCAACGAGACGGTCGGCGACCGTCTTCACATTCACCTGTTTCGAGTATTACCTGGCTGGCGGCGGCAGTCCCAACGAGGAGCGACTGCCCGCGCGGCCGGAGCAGGCGTTTGGTCGGGGCCATGCGGAGGGAGCCGGCGCCGGGCGAACACTGGTCGGGGGAGGGCGTGCCGCTACCGCCGCCGTTCAAGTCTCCGGGAGACTGGAGCAGGGCCCCAGGCGGGGCACGTTCTCAGGTTTTCCCCCGCGACCCGGAACACGGCGCTGACACATCGACGCGCTTTGGGCCTGCCCATCCGTCCGTGTCTTGCTTACTCTCCTCTCCTCTCGTCTCGTCACGACTCTTTCTTATACCTGTCTCGTCTTTGTGCTCCGCCTTCTCGTCAAAGCGTTTCTTTCCACTTCATCCCACCTGTCCCGCTCGTATACATCCTAAGCTTCCTCTTTACATTTTTTACTTTCTCCTGAAAATGTTTCTTCCTCCGTCCTGTCCAATTCCTCTCCTCATTACTCCATCCTGCCCATATATCCGTGCGTTGCTTAGTCCCCTTTCGTCTCGATTCGTCCTTGCTCCTCTTCTTAGTGTTTCACCTTCACGTCAAAGCATTTCTTTCCACACCATTCCAGAGGTTTCACTCTCATTCGCACCTTTCTTTCAGCTTCCTAATTCATTTTCCTTTCTTCTTCAAAGGCTTCTTCCTTCATCCTGTCCATCTCCTCATTACTCCCCCTTCCTCGTCTTCTGTCTTTCTTCTATCCGTGTTCTCCGTCTCTTCGTCATCTAATTGCCATTAATTCATTCATGTCCAACTTCCTCTATTTCTTCACCAAGTGTTCCCTTTTCGCCATTTCTTTAATTTCATCTTCTTTTCCTTTTCCTTTCTTTTCGTCCTCTAATCGACCTTTTAAGCGTTCGGCGAATGAAACGTAGATCCCACCCCTACTCCTAGCTCCCACTGCCACCTGCGTGTATAGTCAAACGAGTGAACGCAAACATGGCGTAATACGCGACACGGCTTGAAAGAGGTACATTCAAAGAGCGCCGCAGAGTTTCACGAGGTAGACAAGGCCTTCCAGCATTCTTTCCGCCGGTGGACGTCCAGTACTACTCTCGAATATCAAACGTAAATGCCGAAATCTCCCAATCCTAAACCAAACAATATTTTCTCTTCGAATCAGTCAATGATCCTTTCATGCTTTTCGCTTTATTATCGCTAATAGTATTTCATGATGTGTATTTTTATAGCAATATATGAAAGAATTTCTTCACAATATTTGTTGAACATGCGAAGCATAAGAAGTTATTTCAATTGCAAGGAAACCACTGGACTAAAGAATTAAATCATCTAATTTCACATCCAGTCACGATGTTTAGGTTTTTAATTGGCATAAGGAACAAATTAAGTGTGCAGACAATTACCATATCTCTTTCCATCCCTCCCCCCAAAAAAATGCACAAGGCCAAAGAGAAACAGAATGCCAGATACACAGTTCTACTCGTACACATCTGTGTGTGGATAACTGGGAAACAATAGTATAAATATAGAACTTGACTATAACTTCACCTTTTCCTTTTATGGGTTTAATGTAGAGATGGCGTGTAAGTTATTTTCACCACAAAACGAGTCGAACTAATCACATAAAAATACAGGCACGAATTTAAAACTGACAGCGACACGCGCATACCGAGGCAGGAAGCTCACATGTCATGACATTTTCATACGCGCGTGATATCACGAAAACTACAAATGTGGCTATCAGCCTAAAATAGTAATTATGATGCATCATTAACACCAGATATGTTGTCGACAACGTCCAACGAATACACTGTCGTGAATAAGCATGGAAATCGTAACGGTTACAGGATACGTTTTAATAGTCTGACATTTCAGAGAAATCCTCATAGTTTTCAATACACAAAAATCAAAAGTACTTATTTATTTTTTTGATTTTTTTTTTTGCCGCATTTAAGTTTACACCAGCATCTACCTTTGTTTCTTGGAAAGTTCTCAGACACTAACCGATGAGGTAAATTTTGAAAGAAATCTAATAGCAACACGTCGTCATGAACTCAAATTTCAATACTATTCACTTTTCTATCGTGAAGTAAGATAATCGAACAGGACAGGAATACATTTTCATACGGCAAATGATGATTCGATATTATAAAGTGCAGGAGACAAGGATCAATCATATAAAAAAGATAATACTTCTTTCAACATACAGCCCTCTTCCCACAATAGAAGAAATGACTACAGTTTTCTCAACAACCCGAAGGTACTTTACGCCATTACCGATCAGAAGCTTTAAAAAAACACTTAAGAAAGAACGTAGGATAGAAAGAAGGAAAATAGGAAGGAAGGGAGGAAGGAATGAAAGAAAGAAAGAAAAAAGGAGTAACTAGGAAGACAACAGCGCGGTCTGCCGCACCCACTGACCAGCGAAGAAACCACGCGGCAGTAGCCTGTGGTGAGTCAACCGCAGGGAAGTCACTCACTCCCCTCTCCCCTTGTTTGTTCCCACCCACCTCCACCCGCACAGCCAGGAAAGAACCACCTTGTTCGTGAATACTGAAGCGCAAACTTTGCTCAACAGTTGGTTTCACTCAAGCGATGTAGCTAAACCCACCGGCCAGTTTTGCGAATGCAGGATGCAAAGGGACAGCGCGAGTACCTCCTATGACTCATCTAACGATTCGAATTTGAAAAAGGCAAACACATTCTCGAAACCTCGAGAACTCACGTTTTAAATTTCGAGGTTTTGAGGCAACTGCTAGAAATACAATTCTCCGTCATTTACAATACACGATAGTCGCCTTACTCT